TCTCATATCTTCCTCTTCTACTTCTTCTTCGTCTTTCTTTCGTCTTCTTCTTCTTCTTCTTCTTCTTTGTCATTTCTTCTTCTCATATCTTCTTCGTCTACTTCTTCATTTCTTCTTCTACTTCTTTGTCGTCATTTCTTCTTCGTCGTCGTCTTTCTTCTTCTTCTTCTTCTTCTCCTTCTTCTTCGTCTTTCTTTCTTCTTCTTCTTCTTCTTCTTCTTCTTCTTCTTCTTCTTCTTGTTCTTCTTCTTCTTCTTCTTCTTCTTTCTTTCTTTCTTCTCCGTCTTCTTCTTCTTCTTCTTCGTGAAGGCTCCCGACGCCGAATGTTGCCGCGCGCGGCCCAAAAAAAAAAAAAAGTCGTGGCACCCGCGGCGAATCCCGACACGCAAGCGCGCACGGGAAATCCCGACACGCAAAGACTGGCGCGGGGGGCGAATCCTGACAAAGAGAGAGAGAGAGAGAGAGAGAGAGAGAGAGAGAGAGAGGTGGCAAGAAGAGAGAAGTTGGTGGTGAGAGAAGGAGAGAAAGCCGCCATAGCCCCTGAACCCCCCCCCCTTCCACCCCCAAATGCCGAAATCCCCAAAATTCGAAATGACCCCTGATTCGTGCTCATCTCCCAATGCGCAGAACAACCCCCTGGACCGAAAAAAAAAAAAAAAAAAAGAAGGCTATTTTTTTCACACGACCGGGTGACCCGGTCGTCGGACCTGCCCGGGCATGACGCCCGGGCCACCGCCCGGTCCGGACCGGCCGGTCGTCAGAATCTTCTTAGCCCCAATAGTTGAATAGGTTTTTTTTTTTTTTTTTTTTTTTTTTTTGGTTCACACATATTGAAATTTTGGAGGTCACTGATCGCTCTTCTTTTCTCTTTCTTTTTTTTTTTTTTTTTTTTTTTTTTGTGCAGGTGACCACCCCACTGTTGAAATTTATGGCGGAGTTCGTAGTGAATAAAATGCAAAGACTCACGTTTGACTCTTCCTCCCCCAATGGGATTCTGCTGTTCCGGGAGGTTAGCAGATTGATTGTGGCATTTGGCACGCGCGTCCTTGCGTTGCCAAACGGGAGCGATCCGTATGCCAGCAAGTACAAGGGTATCTGGATTGCACTGACAATACTGACCAGAGGTGAGTGGCGTAGTGCGCTGTCGTCTGAACCGGGAAGAAAAGAGTTCTCTTTAGTGTTTTTTAATTTATTTATTTTTTTCCGTTTCACATCATTTTCGTGCGGGGGGGGGGGGGTCGCATTATTTCTTGTTGGTGTCTGAAAAAACATGAAAGGTGAATGGAGAAGTTTTCTGTCTCGACCGGGGAAAAAAAAAAAAAAAAAGAATGTTCGTGTTTTTGTGCTCGTATCATTTTTTGTTGGTGTCTGAATGAAAAAGCATGAGCTGTCTTCACCCGCGAATACAACAGCCAGTCATTGGAGCATCGCTGCTGCATCTGGACTGAAGGTTGCCCCGAATACGGTTATAATATTGACCAGAGGTGAGTGGAGTGGCGCTCTGTCTGAACGGGGAAAAGGTCTTCGTGGTTGGCACATCTGGTTTTGTAGTTGTCTGAAAAGAGGCATGAGCAGTCTCGCTCATGATCGCTTAATGTGGACTGAAAGTTGCTCCAAAAAAATACGGGCATAATGATAACTGGGCGTGTGCGAGCAAGTACGAGGGGATCTGGAATGCACTGACAATATTATTGACACGAAGGGGTATCCGAGCAAATACGGTACGTGGAGTAGCGCTCTGTCTAGACAGGGCATAACTTGTTTTTCGTTGTTATGACATCTTTTCTTTGGTTGGTTTCTGAGAAAGCACGAGCTCTCTTCCCCCAAATACATCCCCGGTCATTATCACTCACTGCATCTGGACTCGAAGTTGCCCCCAATACGGATTGCACTGATAATTCTGACCAGGAATCTGGATACAATTCTGGCCGGAGGTCAATCTGGATTGCGTTGACAATTCTGGCCAGAGGTCCGTGGAGCAGCGCTCTGTCTGGACCCGTGGGGACCCAAAAAAAAAAAAAAGAGTTCTTTGTGATCATCGCATCTCTTTCCGAAGGTGTTTGGAAAAGCATGAGCCGTGTTCGCAAAAACGAAAGAATAAAAGAAGCCGTCCTCACCTAAATACATCGGCCGACCCTTGTCGGTGCATCTGTCCGGACTGAAACTTGCCACCGCTGTGGGCATAATGATGGCTGGGTGTATGCTCGCAAGTAGTGTATGTGTGCAAGTACGAGGAAGTTTCGAATGCGTTGACGATATCGACGAGAGGTGAGTGGAGTCGACGATATCGACGAGAGGAAGTTTTGTATGCTCGCAAGTATGGGTGTAGCGTTCTGTCTGGACGGGGGGGCATAAAAGGAGGTTCTTTGCGGTTGTGACATCTGTTTTTTTGTAGTCGTCTGAAAAAGTGTGAGCAGTCTTCACTCGAATACATACAACAACGCCTGGTCATTGTCACTGCATCTGGACTGAAAGTTGCCCCAAATATGGCTATATAATGATGACTGGGCATTGTATGCTGGTTAAGGTGGTAGAAGTGCCCTTCAGTTTGCTCTGAAAAGGGACCTTACGCTCTTCATGGCTGTCTGTCGATTTGTTCTTTTTTTTCCTTTTTTTTTCCAGAAAACAGAGCCTTACGGTTTTGGCTCCGTTCCGTTATGGGGAGCATCAGTCCGGTTCCTATTCCATGGCCGCCGATTTGTTCTTTTGTTTTTTCTTTTGTCGATTTTTTTTTTCTGCGAAAATGGTGGTGATCTTTGCCCCAACTCCAAGAAAGAGGGGCTTTGTTTTCTTCGCCCCTCCCAGTTTTTCTTGCCATGTCCGGCAACAGAGTCTGACTTTTTCTTGTGTGATGTGTCTTCGTTCTCGAGGCTGATGAGGGTGATAGCGTAGTTACTGAACAACGTGTGTGTAGGGCATCAGGCCCCACCGCGCGCGCACAGCTTCGAACCGTCAGCCTCAGGAATGAAGACACATCACACAAAGTATAACACTCAGAAACAAGTATGCACGCTTGACGATGGTACATATGATACAAGTTCATACAACGAGTGAAAAGCACAAAACATCACAGGTCCAGGAACAGATTCGAAGGCAGATTCCATTGGTTCGGCTTCACTTCCTGTTTTTTATTTTTTTCACGGAGGGTGGGGGCCGGGGGGCGGAAACAGAAAAGTGTTTTTCGCGGAGGGGGGGGGGCCTGGGGGCGGAAACAGAAAAGTGTTGTGTGGTGTCAGGCTGTCAGCTGTTGCGAAGTTTCACAAATTGGGATTGCACAGTCAGAGTATGCGCTCACAAGATTTGCAAAATGAGAATGGGCTTGGCTCCACTCGTTACACAATGCTCTCCATGCATTTGACCGTTATACGGACCTGGTGTAAGACCAGGTGCATTTGGAAGAGTACAACATTTCGAATGTGTCGGGTTCGGAAAGCGTCCAAATGCCACCAAATGTGCAAAATGAGAATGGGATTCGCTCCACTACTCAGGCAACGCTCTCCATGCATTCAGACACTCTTTGGACGAGGTTTATTTGGACGAGTCCAACATTTCAAGTGGATCGGGTCCGGAAAGCGCCCAAATGCATGTAGAGTGTTGTGTAGCCGCCACCAAATGTGCAAAATGAGAAAGGGCTTCACTGCTTCACTACACAACACTCTCCATGAATTTCGACGCACTTCGAACCAGGCGCATTCAGACGAGTCAAAAATTTTGAACGTATCGGGTCCAGAAAGTGGTCAAAATGCATGTAGAGTGTTGTGAAGCCACCAAATGTGCAAAACATGCATTTCGACACCCTTCGAATCAGGCACATTTTTTCTGATCAGTTCAGCAGTTCGAACGTACGAGGTCCAGAAAGCGTCCAAATGCATGTAGAGTGTTGTGTAGCCACCAAATGTGCAAAACATGCATTTCTACACCCTTCGAATCAGGCGCATTTTTT